GCGACCTTGCAATGCTAACGCAGCGCCCCCACACCGCCATAGGACCCAGGCGGGGCGCCCTGAGACCGCCGCCCATTTCTGCCGAGGCAGCTCGGCGGAGCCATCCTTGCGGGCTGGTCCAGCCGCACAATCGATGACACAACCTTGCTCAATCGCGGTGGAGTCTCGGCCGAGGAACGTCATGCCAGCGCGTTCAAAGCACCCAGATCCGCGAGATTGGAAGCCGAGTCCTTCGCGGGGGGCGATGCATAGACAGATGCCCAGCGGCGCTAGGAACGCTGTTCCCGTCGACGCCAATTCACGCCCACAGGTCGCGACACTGACGTCCGCGCACGCGCGAAGGTCGTAGCCCGCGGCCCCAGGCGCACCCCGCGGGGACGACCGTGCGTTGGGGCTGAGGAGCTGGACCGTCAGCTACTGGAAAACGCGGCCGTCGGCGGCGTCGGATGCTGGTCGTCGTTGCCCACCGACGCGGGGCGCTCGTGGCCCGCGCCTGTCTCCACCACTCCGCCGCTGGACTGCGCGGACTGCCGACATAACAAGGCGGGGAGGGCAGCACCTGCACCCTCCACCGCTGGGGCGCGCATTCGTTGCGATGGGGCCCGTTGCCGACTCCTGCGACGTAACGTGGAGACGGCAATTTCTCCTCGGAGGGCAGCAATTTGGCACGTTGGGCCTTGCGTGCCAGAGTCAGTGCGAAACTCAATCCCCAGGGTTTGCCCCAGGCGCCGGCATCGGCGACGACGCCTAACCGGCCACCTGGTAGGTCGGCGCTCGCCAGGCATCACGGCGAGCCGCTCAATGGACTCGAGCCTGTACCCGACGAGGTCGGCCACCACGGGGACGTCGGCCTGTGGGGCGGCATGCGCATGTCCAACTGGGTGTCGCAAGGCACTGCCGTGTCCTCTGCGGACGAGAAGGAAGCACTGCCCGGCGACCGCGCGAGGTCTGGCCGAGGCGCCCCAGGTGCAGGGGCCAGGCGGGGAGACTGCACAAGGTCCTGGCGATCTCCATCGGCACGCCCCTGTCGAGCGCTGCGCAGGCTGGCAACGCGATTACCGGAACCGCGGGCGCACAGTCTGCCGCCGCGCGGGCCGATGCCAGGCACCGGAACCGCCAGCATACTATCCACACCAATGAAGTCGGCTTGTTATCGGCACGCCGGACAGCACGCCAAACGGGCATCTGCGCCCTGCCGAAGTTGCAGGCAGCATGCGCGGTGCGAGATGCGGCAGCACAGCTGGCGCACCAAGCACTCGCCGCCAAAAACCTCGAGACACATGAGGCGCACCCTACTTCGTCGCCACTGAACGTGGGCACCAGCGACGAACTGGCTACAGACCAGGCCGGCCCTGCTCATCTCACACCCCAGCTGGCCCCGCGAATCAACTCGCATTGCCTTGAAGATCGCGCGACCATGCTGGAGCGAGAAAAATGAACGGGGGGGGGGGGGGCGACGGTGGAGCACCAGTCGCCGCCCATGAGCACCAGGCCCCGCGGAGTTACTACGCGCCACGCCGGGCGCGAGCATGGCTGAACAGCGCCACTGCTGTCCCAGAAGAGCAAGTGGCGAGGGCGACGATGCTGATGGCGATGCTCGGGCGCAGGCGACGACAAAACGAGCGCGCCCTCGCCAGCTGCGCGGGGGCGCAGTCGCGCACGCGGTGCTCCTCGGAGTAACACTCGCGGCATGTGAGACGCCCCCCGCCAACGCCCACGGCTTCGCCCTGGCGGCCCGAACCCACGCCCGCGGGCCTGAACCCCCCATTCCCACTTACCCTCGCCCACCCCGAAGCCCGCGAAGGTATTCTGGAGGTCGTTCTCGGACAGGGCGGCGATGAAAGCGCGGTCGCTTCTACCCTTGCCCTCGCCCTTCCGTTCGACGACCTCCGGTCGCGGCGCGCGGGCTCGCGGCGGTCGAAGCTGCGCCGGCGCGCTTTGGCGCGCTCGCAAGCCCAGAGAAGGCGCGCACCACGTTGTTCCACGGGAATATCACGTGGCTCGGGGTCGTCGAAAGCCATCTCCTCGCCGAACGCGCCGGCGGCGTCCGCTTCGGCGCCCGACTCGATCTCCGCTGCGGGCCGCGCCCACCCCTGCGCCGGCGGCGCCGCTCTAGCGGCATCGCCTCCAGACGCGGCCCTGGCAAGCACAACGGGGCCCGGCGCCGATCCCAGCGCAGCAGGACCCATGCCGCCCCAGCTCTGCTTCTGCGCGGGCGCACCCGCAAGGAACGCGCGCAGCTGGGCAGCGCGGACCGCCGGGGCAAGGTTGCCGGGCGACCCCATCCACCATGTGCCCACGGCGTCTCAGCTTGCCCGTCACGCGGGCGAACAGCCGAGCGTTCGCGGGGCAGGCCACGCTGCAGCACTGTAGGACCACGGCAAAATGGATGCTCGACACGCCAACGGCGCGCAGCAGAAGGAGGCTGAGCCCCACGTAGCCGGTCCTAACTTGCCCAGCTTGCTGCGCCTGGTCGCAGAGGATGTCGAACCCCGCCAGGAGGTTGTCGACGCGCCCCTTCGGCAGTCGGTTGAAGATCATCAGAGGCGGCCGACGCTGCCGAGGGGCGCTCCTCCTCGCCCAGCTGGCCCCACCGTTCGGCCAAGCTGCGCATTTGGAAGGTCATCGGCGCCGCTGGGCTGCCATTGATGAGTCATCCCTGGATCAGGACAGCTGGCGGCTTCTCGTCGACGCACTCGCGCGCCATGCCGGCAAGGCGCGACAAGACGAAGGCTGCCTGGCGAAATTCGCTGGGGTCGGAATTCGACACTGACCGGATCATCACCTCTCGCACCCATGCCTGGAAAGGCTCTCGAGCTCGGCTCTCGGGCCCCGAAGTGCAGAGGTGACGAACGTTACTGCTGCCGCCACCTGGGCCCACGCAAGCGATGCGGCTCGCGACGGCACACATGCCGACTCCGACGGCATTCCTTCCGGAACGTAGCTCCTTCCACCCGTCGCAAAGGTGCTGGAGGCCGGGGATCCTCAAGCGGCGTTGCATGAGTCGCCGAAGACACTTGCCCTAAATGCGTTCCTCCTCGTCAGCGCACTGGGCGTCTGCTTCAATCGTGCAACTAAGGCACTCGCGGTGCTCAAGAAATCCCGCGAAACAATCACGGGAATGCTCTTCGTACGTCATGCGGTCACTGTAATGCGTACCGCCAATGGCACGATCGTCTAGAAAAATGCGCATCGGGATCTCGCCCTGACCCGCTGGCGGGTCTGCGCAGGTAAAACGAAGAGTCGGGTCCCCAGGCGTGGCGCCTCGGAGCGATGGTGCCCCAGTCGCCATGCCCCCCACTGCCTCCCCGCTCGGCACCGTCGACGCAGTTGCCAGATACCTCTTTTCTGCTTGCTTCTCCCAGGGCTCTCGAGACGCAGTCCCAAGAAGCTCGGGACCGTGTCCTGACACCACACATGTGATAGCTGCTTCGAGCAAGTGTCTAACACCTGAAGTTCCCCCAACGCGGAAGGGAACAGACAGCTTAGGGTCCGCGAGCTGCCTGGTCACAGTCCGAGCATGCCCAGGATAGGTCGCAGAACGGACTTTGTAGATCTTGGCAACATTGCGTTTGATGAAATGATGGTTGCGCACGTTCCCGGCCACTGGTCCTAGCGGATGGGCGGACGCCCGAGGGACCCTAGAAAAACGTTTCCTGCCACAGTGAGCGGGAAGAGGTGCACGACAGCGATGATGTTGAATGCCGATGTAGAGCGGGATGTAGAGCGGCATTCAGAACGACACGACGTAGTGTTCCTGCGGATGGGCTGGTCCAGCCCTGACGTACCCATGTGTGACGTCTCCTGCAGGCGTCGCGATGTAGAGCGACGTATAGGGGAAGTCGTGGACATCGAGGAGGGGCGGGACATGGCGGCCGTGGTATTGGAGCAGGGGCGAATCTGCACCACTACCATAAGAAATGACGGTGTAGGAAAGCGAAACATGGTCATCGGTAAACCGATGTATACCGCGTAGAACGAGTCTGACTATGTAAAGCGGGCGCGGGAAAGGATCCTTGAGCTCCAAAACAGCAGCGGCAAGGACAGGGTGAGAAGCAGGCAAGGCAGGAGGACATACCGTTCGAGCGGGAGGAAGAGAAGGAAAAAAAAAGACTAGGTTTAGAGGAGGAAGGAGGGAGGAAAGAGACGACGACGAAAATGCCGACGACGACGGCAAAAAACGACGAGGACGACGGACGACAGACGCCGCCCGACGGACGACGGACGAACGACACGCACGGACGACGCACGACGACGGACGACGGAACGACGGACGACGGACCGACGGACGACGGACGACGGACGACGGAAGACGGACGACGGACGACGACGGAAGACGACGACGACGGACGGCGGACAACGGATCGACGGACAACGAACGACGGACGACGACGGACGACAACACGACAACGAACGACGACGAACGACGACGAACGACGACGACGACGACGACGACGACGACGACGACGACGACGACGACGGCGAACGACGACGACGGACGACGACAACGGACGACGACGACAACGGCGGCGTCGACGACGACGACGACGACGACGACGGCGACGACGGACAACGACGGACGACGACGACGACGACGGACGACGACGACGACGCCGACGACGACGACGACCACGACGGCGACGACGGACAACGACGACGACGACGACGACGACGACGACGGCGACGACGACGACGACGACGACGACGACGGACGGCGGCGGCGGCGGCGGCGGCGGTGGCGGCGGCGGCGACGACGACGACGACGACGACGACGACGACGACGACGACGGACGGACGGACGGACGGACGGCGGCGGCGGCGGCGGCGGTGGCGGCGGCGGCGGACGGCGGCGGCGGACGGCGAACGACGGAGGACGGACGACGGCGACGGCCACGGCGGGGGCGACGGCGAAGGCGACGGCATCGTCGACGGCCGCGGCGACGACACGGACGACAACGGACGACGAACGACGGACGAGCGGCGACGCGGCGGGGCCCGTCCTCTGGACCGCCGCAGAAGCCCGCGGCGACGCCCTCCGGCGGGTCCTCTGAAGCGCGAGGGGGCGCGCGCAGGCCCGGCATCGAGAGGGGCAGAGGTGGAGAGCGGGCTTTCTCCCGCAGCTTGGTCGGGCGTTTGCGAGTGGGCACTTTTGCGAGTAGTGGAACGCGCTCGGCGAGTGTCGGGGGCGGCAAAGAGGGGGGTGTCCAAGAGGTGGGGGTGCAAATCATGACCGGCGGCATGTGCGCGGCCCAGCGGGGGGGCCAGGGACGTAATGAAATAAGAAGAGGCGCCATGAAATCTGGGGAAAACTCATGGCCCCCGCCATGATATCCACCCCCCCCCCTGATCATCACCCCCCTTTTTGCCGCCCTTGAACCACCACAGTATACGGTAGACTCAAATCGACTCCGCTGACGAGAGCTCGGAGGCGCCAGAACCCATCGACCTGCCTGCGACGGGCCTCCCCGTCGGAAAAGAATGCGGGCGCCTCCGATTCGGGCGGGGCCCGTGCCCGCAGGCCGGGGGCGGCGAGAGGAAACAGGTGGGGGGGGGGGGGACTGGCTCAGTCGATACAGAAGGGGGGGGTGGGGGGGAAGCAGTTGGGGGGGGGACAGCCTGAAATCAGCGAAACGTCGCCGAGAGATCGACGATGGAAGCAGTTGGGGGGGCGGACGACCTAACATCAGCGACACATCGCCGAGAGGATCGACGATGGGCGCCCGACGGCGGAGCCGCGCTCCACGGGGCGGGGGCGGGCTGTCGGGCCCCGGCTCGGCAGTGATGGGGCGATTGGGGGTCTGGGCTGAAGTCGGGCCTGTCCCCCTACAGGGGGATTCTGGGCGGAAAAAATGCTCAAAATGAATACTCAAAAGATGCTCCCCCCAAAAAAAACTCCAAACATAGTCCCCAGACTAGCTTTGCTACTGTTTTTGCATCTCCCCCCTGCAGAGGGACAGGCCCGACTTGAGTCTGGGCAGCCTCCCCCGAGCCCATGGCCCCGAGCGTTGCCCCTGACATCTGGGGAGGGCCCGGGGGAGGCCAGGCCAGGACCCAAAAGAAGGCGGGGGGCCGGCTCGGGGGAGGCCTCCCTGGAAATCCTGGGGCACCTCGGGCGGGGGGGCACCTCTGCCAACACCCCTCCTCCTCCCTCCTCCTCCTCCTCCTCCTCCTCCTCCTCCTCCTCCTCCTCCTCCCTCCTCCTCCTCCTCCTCCTCCTCCTCCTCCTCCTCCTCCTCCTCCTCTACCTCCCCCCTCCTCCCCCCCCCTCCTTTTCCTCCTCCTCCTCCTCCTCCTCCTCCTCCTCCTCTGGTCACTGGGCAGCCGCTGGCGAAACGGCAGCCAAGAGCATCAGAATCGCCCCACGTTCGCTGCACTCTGCGTGAGATCCTGCATGCGTCGTGATGGGGTTATCATTTTGGGCCTCAGGGTATTCAGGGGGCGTTCCGCTCCTCGGCCAGCTTCCCCGTCCCGCGCGGAATCGGGACCATGTCCTACCCCTCCCCCTATGCTCCTCTTCCCTCCCCCTCCTTCCCCACCTTCTTACAGAGGGTGAGGCAGAGGATGGGGGATGAAGGAACGGAGGACGAAGGGAGACAGGAGACGGGGGAGGACGAAGACGACGAGGAGGACGAGGTGGCGGAGGAGGAGATGGTGGAGGGAGGGAGGGAGAGGGGGAGGCGGAGGAGCAGGAGGACGAGCATCGGGGGATGGCGAGGGGCGCAGGGAAGAAAGGGAGAGGGGAGGGGAGGGGAGGGGGGGAGGGGAGGGGGAGGGGAAGGGAGGGAGGGAGGAGGGGAGGGGTGGGAGAGGGGGAGGGGAGGGGAACGAGGGAGAGGTGGGTGGAGCGGAGAGGAGCGAGGATGGCGGACAGCCCCCACTGACGGGGCCTGCCCAGGGCGTGCCGCCGGCCGTCCTTGCAGTCGTAGGCACCCCCGCAGAGCCGAGAATCACCTGCGCGCTCCAGCGCGGACCTCCTCCTCCTCCTCCTCCTCCTCCTCCTCCTCCTCCTCCTCCTCCTCCTCCTCCTCCTCGTCCTCCTCCTCCTCCTCCTCCGCCTCCTCCTCCTCCTCCTCGTCGTCATCATCATCACCACCGACACCATCACCATCATCTTCGACATTCACCACCACCACCATCGTCATCCCCATCCGACTAAACCAACACGATCACCCTCCCTGCTCATCATCCGGCTGATCTTCTGATACCCTCCTGTGCTCCACACTGTAGGCTAAGGAAGGTCATCATCCCTTTTGTCATCCTCCTCATCATATTATTCCTCCTCCTCCTCCTCCTCCTCCTCCTCCTCCTCCTCCTCCTCTCCTCCTCCATCTCTTCCTCCTCCTCGTCCGTTTCCTCATCTCATCATCATCTCAATCATCAATCATCATCATCATCATCTCATCATCATCATCATCATCATCATCATCACATCATCATATCTTCATCATCATAGTCATCGTCATCACGTCACCATCATCACCACACCGTCCCATCACCATCATCACCATCTCATCACCATCATCATCGCCATCATCATCATCATAATCATCATCATAATCATATCATCTTCATCATCATCATCATCATCATCATCATCATCATCATCATCATCATTCATCATCATCATCATCGTCGTCATCATCATCATCAGCAGCAGCAGCAGCATCGTCATCGTCATCATCATCATCATCATCATCATCATCATCATCATCATCATCATCATCATCATCATCATCATCATCATTATGAGTAACATCATCAGCAGCAGCATCATCATCACCACCACCATCATCATCATCATCATCATCATCAGCATCGTCAGCAGCATCATCATCATCATCATCATCATCAGCATCATCATCATCATCATCACCATCCGCATCATCATCATCATCATCATCATCATCATCATCATCATCATCATCATCATTTCATCACCACCATCCGCATCATCATCATCATCATCATCAGCAGCATCATCATCAGCATCAGCATCATCATCGTCGTCGTCATCATCATCAGCAGCATCGTCATCATCATCATTATCAGTATCATCATCAGCAGCAGCATCATCATCATCGCCACCACCATCATCATCATCATCATCATCAGCAGCAGCATCATCATCAGCATCATCATCATCATAGTCAGCAGCAGCAGCATTTCCATTATCATCAGCAGAATTATCACCATCACCATCATAACCAACATCAGCATCATCAACAATATCAGCTTCATCATGTTCTCCATCATCAGCATCACCAGATTAATCGTCATCATCACCACCACAACCACCACCGCCATCATCATCATCATCATTAGCAGCAGCAGCAGCAGCATCGGCGTCAGCATTAGCATCAGCATCAGCATCAGCATCGTCATCGTCATCATCAGTTTCCGAACCCCCTTACCCTCACCCTCCCTCGAGCAGGAGAAAGGCGCTGCACATCCTCATCATCATCGACCTCACTCTCACTCTACAATTACTCAATATGAATACTACTCTCCCTCTTCCCCTGATGACGGAATGGGAGTAGCCGACCCCCCCCCGCGTACTGTTTGTTTACACACAGGTTTCCCCGGAGTTGGGTTTTCGCCTGCATTTTTTCCCAAATGCTGCTCTCGCTGAGGCGCCGGCCTCATTTTCAGGCCCCGCTCGTTCCGAATCGCGCTCCCGCTGCAGCGTGGGTCTCATTTTCGGATCGGTGTTTTGCCTCCGTCGTTCAGGATGGCGTTCTCGCCCCAGCGCGGGCCTCTTTCTCGCGCGCCCATCCGCCCGCCACCACCGCACCGCGCCCCGCCCCGCCCACCGCCACTTCCACCCACCAACGCACGCACGCACGCACGCACGCGCACCGCCACCACCACCCCACTACCCCACCCACCACCACCACGCTACACCGCGTCACACCACATCACACGCGCGCACACAGACACACACGCACGCACGCACGCACGCACGCACGCACGCACGCACACACAACACACACACACAGACACACACACACATGCACACACACACACACACGCACACACACACACACACCACCACCACCGCCACCACCACCACCGCCATCACGCACGCACGCACCTGGCCCACCACCAAACCACCAAGACGCCACACCACGTCACACCACAGCACACGCGCACACACGCACACACACACCACCACACCCACCACACCACCACCACCACCACCACCACCAGCACCACCACCACCAACCACAACCACAACCACAACCACAACCATAACCATAACCATAACCACAACCACGCACACACGCACGCACGCACGCGCACCACCACCCACTACGCACGCGCGCGCGGAGCCACAGGTCCGCTACGACACGCGTCCGCGGATAGAGAAAATCAGCGCCATGGTAAGGGATGGGAGGGAGGGGTAGGACGTCAGATATGACGCGAGCGCACATAGCTTGCCCAATGCCCCTCCCCCTGCCCCCGTCCGTCCCCGCTTTCCACCTCCCCCTCCCCTCCAACTTTTGTCATCGCCCCCATCCTACCTCCTTTTGGCCCCCTCATCCTCATCATCATCCTCCTCCGCCTCCTCATCGTTCTCCCTCTCCATCCTCCTCCTCCTCCTCCTCCTCCTCCTCCTCCTCCTCCTTCCTGCTCCTCCTCCTCCTCCTCCTCCTCCTCCACTTCCTCCTCCTCCTCCTCAATTCTCTTCCTTATGAGTAACTCCTCCCTGTCACGCCCCGAGGCCACTCGGAAGGGCGTGCGGGGCGCGTCGCCTGAGACTTCCTTAACATCTATGAGCCCGGAGTTTCAAAACTGGCAGCAGCTTCACAAATGAAGGGCGGGCCGTTTCCAAAAGGTTCCTCTCGCCTTAGCGCCGCAGCAACTCGTCTTAAATATGTGCACGAACTTCGCGGATTGGGGGCAGGTCGTTTTCAATGTGTTGCTCTCACCTGAGCGACGCGTACTTTCGATCTACACTTTCAGAAAAATGTCACGAATTACGGGCGGATAGTTTTCAGAATAGTGT